CATTTGCTTTGATGATGTTGGGGCTGAAGTAATGCTGGAAACTCCAAGATGAGACATGTGGGTCACGTAGAATGATTTTATTTCTCCTTTCACATCCACAGTTTGGAAAAATAGCATCGGACTTAATAACAGGTGCCTTTGACTCGGTCATCCTCCAGAGAGAACAAGCTGTCCAGCTATTTGGCAACATGGACACAGATTGTATAACTACTCTCTCTCTCACACACACACACTCACACACAACGAGAAATTACAAACAACAGTGTGCTTTCCAATTCTTTTTTGACACAATTAGAACAATGTGAAAGTTTACAAAACAATGTCTGAGAATCTCAAGCTGTTTTACAGGAACCCCCCCCTCCTAGGGTGGCCCAGGGCTAGATTCTGAATATGTCACTGTGGAGCCCACAATTTGCAGAAATACATCCCCACTTGTTTCACAGTCCTCAAAAAGGGGTTAAAAGATGGCTCTGACACTGAAGACATTCAGATAGTTCCAGGCAGGGTTTGAATCTAAACTCTGGTAACTCTGGAGGAGCTGCTCATATGGAAGCTCCTATTGTTACATGTATGCTGCTATAGGCTTAGACTGCTGGAGGACATAGGGACCCCTTTTTCATCATTTCATCTCTAACGTTCTGCTCTCTCTGCTTTTTCTCATAGTAACTTTTCAGAACTAGATTTTGTGTTTTATGGGGGGAGACGCAATTTTTCATTGCATCTCTGTAAGTCATCTGGGAGTCTTCAGTGAAATCATAGATTAATAACTATTTAATAAAAACTTATTAAATGATCAATTTATGTATATATTAGTATTTGTGAATATCAATTTTATGCAGAATAATTACTGATAAAAGTAGGTAAGTAATGATAATGAAAAAGGTGTTCACCCAAAACTCAAACCTGAAAGAATTTTATCCACTATACCTTTTATGTAGAAAGAATGGATATTTGAATATATTCCTCTATTTGTTAGCAAAGGCTGTGGAAAAGTATAACTTGTCTTTATATAGAAAATATGGATGTTTTGCTCATTAATTTTTCCTGTTAGAACAGAGTAGATTGACTGTGAGGTTTTGGTGCCTATCTACTTTTGGCCACCCCTCAGTGTACATTGGTTATTGCCTGGACACCCTTATAACATTTTCTGGCTACGCCTCTGAGTCAGAATTCTGAGATTAAAGTCAGAATTGGGAGAAAAATGTCAGAATTGTCAGATTAATGTCAGAATTCTGAGATTAAAGTCAGATTTCTTAGATTAAAGTCAGAATTCAGACTTTTTTCTCATATTATACTGAAATAAAATTTAAAAATAAGTCAACTTGTTTCTATTTTTCAGTGGCTCTACTCCTCTTCCATGTCCCTCAGTAAAACTGTTCTCCTGTTAGTCCTGGTGGACTGTGAGGGGGTGTGTTCTCCGGCATAAGGCGGTCTTTCCTCCCGGGTTTCTGACCCAATAAACCGGGTTATGTAACAGAGCTCCAGCTTCTCACCCTGATGGTTGCTTGAAAGTTCAGACTCAGTCTGGTCCCGTGGGCATCCAGCTGTGCGTCCACGCAGAAGAACATCTGGCCAGCAGAGGTTCTGCCTTTAACCTGTTGGATGATGTTCTGAAGGGTTTTAGAGGCAGAGCGATGGGCTCCGGGGCCAGCAGAGGGAAGAAAGTCGCACCTGTGTGCATCGGTGAGGTGAGGAGGAGCAAAGCAGGAGGAGCCCAGCAGGACACAGGTCTGTTTACCCTACGCAAAGCTCAGTGTGCAAAACACAGGGGCCCCAGCGAGGGGCCCCACCGTGACAGCTCTGTGGAGGACGGTGACGCAGATGGACAGAGGGCCTCTGTTAGGAAAACTTCTCCCAGGAGGATTTTCATCCACTCCAAAACATACAGACTGTGTCCCTTCAGCAGGGAGGACGATGAGGACCAAACCAGCTCCTCTGCACAGCTGGAGGAGCCGCGTGTCCCACGCAGCGTGGAAAGGGATGGAAACATGTGGGGCGACTGTGCTTTTTCACGCAGGAAGCCTTTTACACCTGCAGGCTTCATTCAGCGCCACGTAAGTCGGTTTATAGAAGCTTTAACTGGATCTGAGCACCTCTATTTATGGAGCAGAAGGTTTTAACTAAAAGATAAAATGTCAAACTGTCAAAGATTTCTTTTTTATGTTCTGATGGGGTTCAAAAGTTTAAACTCTCAAAATCAAAACAAAACAAAAAATAGTAAAAAAAATAAAAGAAAAAAGAAAGAAAGAAAAAAACAACAACAAAAGAAAACATTATTGTTGCAGAAAATAACAGGTTTTGTTAATTGAAGTTTGAAAAAAAATGAAATCCAGAAATGACAAAAACATTTTAATAATAAAACAGGTTTTGAGACTAACTTTGCGGTTTTTCTCGAATTTGGTTTTTCTCAATTTTTCATTTTCCAAATTATTTTTATATTTTATTTTTTCTACTTATTTAATTTTTTGTTTACTTTTTTTTTTTACTTAATTGAAATATTTTTTTTATTTCTTATTTTTATTTTTTTTACAGATTTTGTATTTTAAAACTTCTCTTTTTCAAATTAACTTTTACGAATTGCGTGCTTTTTAACTTTATTTTTTAGGGGTCCCCGGTCTTTATCGCTGTTATTTTTGGGCTAAAATCTTTGCTCCACACTTCTGTGGTCTGACCAATCAAAATGTTGTTGCTAAGGTCCAGGCAGAGCAGACTCCTTTCTATTGGTTCCACACAGACCAATAGAAATGCGGCTCCACCCAGAATGGAAGAAGGCGAAAAGGGATTTGAAAAATTCGTAAAACTCAGTATTGCGAACGAAATTTTGAAGAATAACATCTAAAAAAATTAATAAATAAAATCTGAAAAAGTATTTTAAAAAGTAACCATTTTAAAAGAAATCTTAAAAATAAAGTAAAATAGTAAACAATAAAAATAAAGGGTTGAACTATTGCATACACATAAATTAATCAGAAAAACATTTTTTTTTTCATTAAGAAGTGTTTTCAAGGTTGCTGTTATTGAATTATATTTTCCTCAGAATTCCTTTTATGAAATATTTTCTCAGATTTCTCCCCATTTATAATTATTATTCAGTTTTACTTTGCATTCCTCGAGGTGTAGAACTACAAAAACCAATCATTAGGTTTTTTTTATTATTTCCTTATCAAAATACAGATTTCTATGGACGTCCATGTCTGGGTGGGTCTGCAGATTATCCATCCTCTCTCCAGGATCAGAGGTGTAACTAGAAAATGTTAATAAGGTTAGCCAGGCAATAAGCAATGTACCCTGAGGGGTGTATCTTTTCATGTTAATATATTGATGTGCATAACTAACTACAGTGGGGGTTTTTTTTGTCAAGTAATTGTTAATATAAGAAAAAATTTAATGTTAAAAAGGTTAGAACAATTCACTTTGGACTATTACTGCTCCCACCATCTGAATTAGAGGGAAAAAATGGTAGGGGGTGGCCACAAGGGTGGCTAATAATTGGCCCTGGCCCCCCATCTAGCTCCGCCCCTGTCAGATGAAGATTGATGGAAGCTCAGGGAGATTTTCCAAGAATGCAATCTTATTCTAAAACCTTACCTTTCGTCAAAATAAACTAGAAGCTCCTCTCTAAGCCTGCCAGCTGGATTCCTTGGTCTCCATCATTCTGCGTTTAGATCAGCTGCATTTATCCTTAGCTGAAATTATTATTATCATCTGTGACTTCTAAATATATTTATTTTGGTATATTAGAATAAAAAGCTGAATACAAATTCAGGCTGTGCTGTTTATGTTGATATTTTCTTAAACTTGCATCATTCTCTACAAATTTTACAGGTATGATCCACTTTGTGTTGGTTCCTCATCTGAACCCATTAAAAAAAGCTTTTTTTAAATTGTGATAAGACTTGAAAATAATCAAATTTTGACCATTTATGTCCTCGTTTTTTGTTTCGGTCTTTGTCACACAGAAGTTCTCAGCAGGAGGAACGTTCTTGGAAAGGGTTCCCACATGCGATAAACAACAGTAAGTCGATAAATGATTCATATCTGAGCTCAGAAGAGTGCGGGGAAAAGCGGCGACCAGATCGAATTCTCCTGGAAGGGGCGAGTGTTGCTGGTGAAGAAGGCTGTGAAGAAATGTGAGGCCATTAACCTGAACTCTGATGTTTTGTTTTTTATTTTATCCACTTTCTGCAGGACTTTGGGCAGCTGTCACAGCCCCTCTCCCCCCATGCCGGTCATCCTGTATGATGGATCAGAGGAAGAGCTGATGGACACTATAGAGAGAGAGAGTTTAGCTGACTGAGCAGCTCTCACTTGATCAGAACTAAAGATTTACTATTTTAAATAAAGAATATTAGGGTGTCATAATCTAATCTGATATAAGCGCTGATGCTGAGGTGTTTGGATTTTAGCCTGCTAGTCTTATTTAAGAGTTTAAAGCGGTGTAATTACAGCCTCATACTTCAACGGAAACTGGAACCGATGCCAGGAGGCTCTTTGTGCAGATCATCTTCAGTGTTCGCTGAAGAAGGCCTCCCTGGTTTGTTATGTGGAGCAACAGGCTGTCCTGTCATCCAATTACTCACACTAGGCTCCCATTACTGTGCATACACTTCTTTTTTTAAAGGAAATGAGCGACTGCAGAGCTTTGGTGGTTGTTGGGTGGTTGAGGCCTTTAGGCAGAACTTTTCTACAACATAAACATTTTCAGGGTGCAGCTCTGGACTTTACGTGAATAATCTGGCACAGGTCTGCAGAGGAAATGTTTGTTTAAGGTTCTGTTCCCGACCGCAGTTCCTGCGCTTTTCCGCCTGATGAAGACAGAATGTGACACAAGAAGGGTTTTACAGTCTGCATGGTTAAAGCAAACAATAAAGAGGCTGCTGCCACCTTGTGGTACGAGATAGAAAGCGTTCCGTTTCATTTTCAATGTAAAATAAATAATAATGTGGGTAAAAAAAAATGGAAGTGTAGTTTGTTCTAGAGAGATGATTGTCTCTACAAGGGATGTTCGCATAGCTTATTTAATAAACAGCCATCACATTCACAGAACTAAAATAAAATAAAATGTATTTCTTTAAGACAATCCAGACTGTGTAAAATGTTCTGCACAATGTTCTTAAATTAAAATATGATCACTCTTTAGGGTATATAGAGGCCATTTGGCATGTTTTTACACAGGGTTTTGACTGTTATTTTGTTTCTTTTAAGGGCTGTAGAAAGCAATCCTCCTCTGCACGGCCTGGAGAACTTTGGAAGGAAGACAGGGAAGCTGATTCCTGAGCCTCTCCAAGGTTCGCACATTCTTTGCAATGTAATCTTCACAAATCCTGTCAGAGACAATAGATAAGAAAATAAAAAAAACAGGAATTCTGCAAGTTTTCTTTAATGGATGGATGCAGGGGTTAAAGAAAAAAAAAATCCTAAGCCTGAACTTTTTTTAACACAGGCAAGAAACTATATATATATGCGCATGTGTGTGTGTATTTTAAAGCCATGCCAGGAGGGTGTGGGGGCATGGGATCAGAGATTGCATGAATGATTGAAGACTAAATTTGACTTTTGAAAATCCAACACCAAAAACGGCCAGAAGATGGAAGAAGTGCATCTACACTCACCGGCCACTTTATTAGGTACACCTGTCCAACTGCTCGTTAACACTTAATTTCTAAGCAGCCAATCACATGGCGGCAACTCAGTGCATTTAGGCATGTAGACATGGTCAAGACAATCTCCTGCAGTTCAAACCCAGCATCAGTATGGGGAAGAAAGGTGATTTGAGTGACTTTGAACGTGGCATGATTGTTTGTGCCAGAAGGGCTGGTCTGAGTATTTCAGAAACTGCTAATCTACTGGGATTTTCACGCACAACCATCTCTAGGGTTTACAGAGAATGGTCCGAAAAAGAAAAAACATCCAGTGAGCGGCAGTTCTGTGGGCGGAAATGCCTTGTTGATGCCAGAGGTCAGAGGAGAATGGCCAGACTGATTGGAGCTGATAGAAGGGCAACAGTGACTCAAATAACCACCCGTTACAACCAAGGTGGGCAGAAGAGCATCTCTGAACCCACAGTACGTCCAACTTTGAGGCAGATGGGCTACAGCAGCAGAAGACCACACCGGGTGCCACTCCTTTCAGCTAAGAACAGGAAACTGAGGCTACAATTTGCACAAGCTCATGGAAATTGGACAATAGAAGATTGGAAAAACGTTGCCTGGTCTGATGAGTCTCGATTTCTGCTGCGACATTCGGATGGTAGGGTCAGAATTTGGCGTCTACAACATGAAAGCATGGATCCATCCTGCCTTGTATCAACGGTTCAGGCTGGTGGTGGTGGTGTCATGGTGTGGGGAATATTTTCTTGGCACTCTTTGGGCCCCTTGGTACCAATTGAGCATCGTTGCAACGCCACAGCCTACCTGAGTATTGTTGCTGACCATGTCCATCCCTTTATGACCACAATGTACCCAACTTCTGATGGCTACTTTCAGCAGGATAATGCGCCATGTCATAAAGCTGGAATCATCTCAGACTGGTTTCTTGAACATGACAATGAGTTCACTGTCCTCAAATGGCCTCCACAGTCACCAGATCTCAATCCAATAGAGCATCTTTGGGATGTGGTGGAACGGGAGATTCGCATCATGGATGTGCAGCCGTCAAATCTGCGGCAACTGTGTGATGCCATCATGTCAATATGGACCAAACTCCCTGAGGAATGCTTCCAGCACCTTGTTGAATCTATGCCACGAAGAATTGAGGCAGTTCTGAAGGAAAAAGGGGGTCCAACCCGTTACTAGCATGGGGTACCTAATAAAGTGGCCGGTGAGTGTATATCTACCATTTGCATGAACCACATTTCTTTTGATGTCCAGCCATGCCCACTGTGTTCAGCGAGAAAAGCACAAACCTTATTTTTAACTCAAATACACGCTCAGTTATTGATGCTGGTACATCAGCTGTTGCCATAGCTCCCGGCAAACGTGTAGTGTGCAGGCCTGCACGAACAGCAGCTTGATGACCAGGGTCTAACTCATGTTTGCGTAGCACCTTTTTGCTGCTGGATGCCTAAATAAGAGTTCTTAGAGCTCAGCGTGCAGAAGCAAGCGCCTGGTTGACCTAACTTCCTGCTCCAGCCATGCCCAGCGCCTTTTATGTTTGAGGATCTATGGCCGTGACATCTTCCCCGGAGTCCGTGAACTGCATTGTGCCCACTCCATGCAATCCTGTTCTCTATATCGTCCTTCTCTCCAAACACAGAATTTCATTTATTAATTTTTTGACTTTTTACACGTCTCTCTGTTGAAGGTGACTTTCCCTTCAGCACTGAGCCACAATCTATTACTATACTTTAATCTCAATGGATGGATGGATGGATGGATGGATGGATGATGGATGGATGGATGAAAGATGGATGGATGGATGGATGATGGATGGATGGATGGATGATGGATGGATGGATCGATGGATGGATGGATGGATGATGGATGGATGGATGGATGATGGATGGATGGATGGATGGATGGATGGATGGATGATGGATGGATGAAAGATGGATGAAAGATGGATGGATGGATGGATGGATGGATGATGGATGGATGGATGGATGGATATTGTGCTTTATAATAAATTCAGGATAAAGTTGTTTTTACCTGAACAGAGGATGAGGCTCGATCTGGAAAACAAGTGCGTCGTTACAATGTCCCTAAAACATGAAAATGAGATCATGTTTTCATTTAGAGTAAATATTAAACACACAGCAGCACAAACACACTGGATTTTACAGCTAATAATTAGCTTAAATTCAACCCAAAATCACAAAATATATGAACTAAACATATGACACCCAAAGCCAAGGAGGGAATTAAATATGATACATTTCCTCGTTTAATGCAGTTTAGTTTTAAAATGTGCCATCAATGCTTACAGAGTCTACAAGCAGGATGTAGTCGCAGCTTCCACCAAACACAACCACGTCTGAATCTTTGCTGGAACATGCTGTGTGCCACAACCTTAGACAGGAAAATGAATCAAAACATCCAGACCACTTCAGGTTACATGTTTTATGGGAAATATTCATTTCTGTTCAGAAATCTATGCGCATGATTAAATCCTATCAATAGGATCAGGCTGATACTGTTTGCATTGTTAGGTCTCAAGCAGATGGATGAACACCTCAGATCCAAACAGGGTAGCATTTACACACACATGCTCAGTTATTTGACGACACTAGGACTGAACGGCTCAAAATTGTGATTTCTTTTGTTAACCAAAACTGCAATTTTGATATTTAAATTTTCCTTTGCCCTAACCCCAGACTTGTATTTTTTTATTTATTTTTTGCCGCTAGCTTTCAGTTTTTCAAAGCTTGCTGGGCCAAAGTCCATTGTTGCAGGCCTTTACTGTCGGCTTTGTGTGAAAAAAGTGCTTACTTCTACTGGCGTGCATGGACCTGCATGCAGCAACAAAACTATCTACCAAAACTATCTAACTATCCAGAGGGGGGGACTCAGATTTAAGCTTTCAAAAACCTACAATGTGCTATTGAGTTGATACCCTCCCTCTATCATCACAACCCCCACCCCTTTACAGGGGAACAGAAGACCCCGCCTGTTTAGCCAGGCCAACAATTCCCTTTAACGACCCCCCTTTCAGAGACATAGACAGTTATGGGGCATTGCAGGCTAACAAAGAAGCCAAACGACCCCCATTCTACATAAGTACAGGCCATTTACCATTTCATAATAAACTAAAAGTCACTCTCCAAGTCTATCAATTGGGTTCCTTGGTCTCCATCATGCTGTCTTTAGATCAGCTATATTTATTCTTACGTGAAATTAAACCATTTTAACCTGTTTATTGGCTGTTTATCGGTTGAAAAAAAAAAAGTTGATATTTTTTTAATCTTGCATCATTCGCTACAAATTTTACAGCTATGATCATCTTTGTGTTGGTTCTTCATCCAAACCCATTAAAATGAATTAAATATTAGCTTTTTTTAAATTGTGATAAGATGTGAAAATAGTCAAATTTTGACCATTTACACCATTTCAACCTGTTTATTGCTTTTGTACTGGTGAAAATAAGCAAAACAACCCCCATTCATCTGTTTTAATGTGCATGTTTTCTAAGCAAAAACCAGGCTTTGTTGGGCTACTGTATAAAACCTGGAACTTAACGCTATTTCTGACATATTGAATTGAAAAAGCTTCCTGGATGGAAAGAGAAACATCTTCAAACTTGGAAAGTGGATTGTTTTTTTTTTTTTACTTTTTTGGAAAAACTATCTACCTTTTTGCGTGGCAAAAAACTAATTTCAAGTGTTTTATCGCCACCTAATGGAAGAAACGTTGGAGGAAGAAACTTTGTGTCTTACTCTTGTTAAATATTGTTTGATTAAAATTGAGTGCCTTTGTTATTTGAAAATTGCATTTAGTTAAATTGTGATTATTTTGCAAATGCAATTAATTGTCCAGCCTTTAGCATTTATCCAGAGTTAAAGGCCTCTTAGAGACTTCCTGGCTGCATGTTTCACCTGATTTCTATCTGCAAAAACATCCCCTCTACACTGAGCTGAAGCTTGCAGCCACAGAGGAGCAGAAATGTTTTCCATGTAGACTTTAGGACCGGATAAGATCAAAATTAGCCATACGGCCACAATGACAGGAAGGGCGTTGGAAGAAGTAAAGATGAGGCTTTAAACTGAGGATGCATGGTGGGGGTAGCATCATGCTACGGGTCTGTTTTCTTTTAGTGGTGCATTGCCCAGAAGAGGTGGAAAAATCAAGAGGAGAACTTAAGGCCTGAACATAACGGACACGATTTAGCCTCAGATTCTACGGAAAACCCATCGCACCAAGTTGTTTTATTTAGTTTAATTAAAAAAATAGCTCAGCCTGCTGAACACTGGACACATTTCAGCAGGCTGTATTCAATACAAAATATCTTTTCTGCTGCACAATCAAAATCATTATCAAACTGGTTAGAGAATAAAGTCATTAATACATTTAAGATGAATGCAAGGCTGAACAATTGGATCAATCGTCATTAAATGGAGTATAGAGACTGTAAAACATGCCTTTGGCTGACAGAGCGACTCACTTAGAGCAGTATTTATATGAAAATTGTACAAAAAAATTTAAACGTTTTTAATTTAAGATAAAAAAAAGTTTGTTCCACCTGGTTTGATTTGGTAAAAAATCTCCTTTAAGGAACTTTTGGCTATCCCATTACAGGGTTCCTACAGCATAAGGCAAGTTAAATTCAAGACTTTTTAAGACTTTTTAATGCCACTTAAAATAAAAATTTAAGACCAAATTCACAAGAAACACAATAAAAATCTGCTTGTGACAACTTAACCCAAAGGTTTAATTTAACATAAACCACTGCACTAATGTTTCAAATGTTGAAAAGCTTCCCATACAGGAAGAAAGCTAAAAACACACAAATGACAGATATATTTGAACAATTATTTAACTGAATTCACAAACTTTGTTTTAGCAGGGAACAAAACAAATCAGTTTTAAAGCCCCAACATAACCAGTGCTAAGTCTTTTTTGCAGCTATTTTTCTTTGTATGGTTTTCTTAGTATGTTTGATTTGGTGATAAGTGGAGGCGTTGCAGAGACAAGGGTGGAACTAAACTGAGAAATACCGGCTGTTTCTCTCTAACTCCATTTTGACGCTTTGTGTTTCGTGCTTCGCATGTGCGACTCCACTGCCTTAATTCCCATCGTTCTGAGCTTGAATGACTTCGTGCACAAAATCCACTGAGCCTCATGTATGTTCCCTGGTTTTAGCCATGGAGGAAACTCTTGGCTGGAGACAATTTTCGTCACATTTACACTTGCTCATATTTTCCAGAAAAAAAGTTAATGGTGCATCTCCCAAATGTCCCGGTCGCAACAACGCTTTTACTGGTTCCGCTATTGGGACGGAACCAATAATGGCGAGCCGTTATTTTTTTTTTATAAAAAAAAAAAATGTCAATTTTAACGCTTTATTTAGATTACAAAAATTTATCGTAATAAAAATAATCCTATTTATGATGTTTTAAAAATTAAGACGAATGAAAGACTGATTTAAGACATTTTAATACCAATTAAGGCCTTAGTTTTATTTTAAAGAACTCAATGCCTTTTAAGACTTTTTAAGGACCCGCGGGAACCCTCCATTATTAATCAATTAATCTAAAAAAATAATCTAGAGATGAATAAATTTGCAAAATAATCGTTAGTTGCAACCCCAGATGAATGTGTTAATTAAACGTCAGTTTCCTTTCAACATCTCCTCATAAACGCAATCAAAAACCACCACAGGTGCATGTAGAACTCTCACCAGTTTGTGACAACCCTTGCATCCGACGTGGAAGCAGCGGAAGACACACCTGTTCACAGCGCAATTTTTTTTTTTTTTATTAAATTTTCCAGATGAATATACAAAAAATGACAAATAAGAACAAATCACCACCCTACCCTTGCCCTCCCAGAACAGCACATCATAGAACACTTTCACAGTCAAAACAACATGACGAAAACACCATATATTGATCTAAAGCATTCCACAAGCATGAAAAAAAAGAAAGTTATACAGAGTATTAAGTAGTGACGAGTCAGTCTTAATCACTTTTTCGTTGAAGGAATTTTAGTACAGGGTCCCATACTTTCTCAAACACAGCACCCTTATCTTCGTTATAATGTCTCAGTCTTTCCAGGTGCAGAGTATTTGCTAGTTCTCCCAACCACAAATCAAATGAGGGCACAGAGTAATTTTTCCAAAATCTCAAAATCAATCTTTTAGCAATCACCGAACCAAACAAGACAGCCATTTTCTCATTTTTAGTGGCTGGTTGCAAAGCACTGGAGATTCCAATGATGGCAATAAGAGGATCTGGATCCCATCTTTTTCCGAAAGCTGCTGAAAAAAATTTAAAAATTTTCTTCCAGAATGAGTGCAGCTGAAAACATGACCAGAAGGAGTGCGTCAGGTTACCAATAGCAACCCGACAATGATTACAAATTGGAGACACACTAGGAAAGAACATGCTCAGTTTCTCCCTCGAATAATGGAGCCTATGTATAGTTTTGAAACTTATGAGATTGTGTCTGACGTTGATTGAACAATATTGAATACTTTTCAAACCCTCCTCCCACAGATCTTCAGATAACTGTTGCCCCAACTCATCCTCCCATGCCTTTTTAATGCTGGTCGTGTCTACGCATATATTGTTAAAGATCTTATAAAAGTGAGACACTGCCCCCCGACTGACAGGATCAAATTTATCTATTTCCTCTAGGGTTTCATGTTTTGTTAAAGTTCCAAAATCCGATAAATTTTTCCTAACATAGTCCCGTACCTGCAGATAACGGAAAAAACTCGACGGGGAAAGATTATACTTAGAACGTAACTGTGCAAAAGATGCAAAAGTTCCATTAATATATAGATCACCTATCACATTAATGCCCTTCATTCTCCACATCCGAAAGACAGCGTCACTGAGACCTGGCGCAAAGGAGTGATTTTTACAAATAGGTGTGTCAAAGTCAACCTCCGGAGCTTTTATAAATTTTTTTATCTGATTCCAGATTCTGATAGTATGGCCAATGACAAAATTATTGGTATATAAAGTTTTACTGACTTTAATGGGGCTGTTTAGGAGGGCAGGTAGAGACGTATTACAACAATGCAGACGCTCTAAAGATAACCAGGTAGGACAGGTCCCGTCAGATGAGAGTGGGCCCCTCTTCCACCACGCCAGGATGTATAAATGGCAAGCCCAGTAATATTGCTTAAAATCGGGTAAGGAGAACCCACCATCCATCCCCGGCTTACATAAGTGTTTTTTGGAAATTCTGACTCTTTTATAGCCCCAAAATAAAGGGAATAATAATAGAATCTAATTGTCTGAAGAAGGATACACCTATAAAACATGGACCAGATTGAAATAAGTGAAGGAAACGCGGTAATACCACCATTTTAATGGCGTTGATCCTACCGGCCATAGATAGTGGGAGCGTCCTCCAGAAATCAATATTCTGCTTGAGTTGAAGAATTTTACTTTGCCAATTCAGCCTTAAAAGATCTTCTGGTTTTTTTGTTACCAACACGCCCAAATATGTAAAGGATTTATAAGCTATCTTAAATGATGTGGACGTCAAATATACCAAATCAGCATCTGTGGTAAGTGGCATTAGCTCACTTTTGTCCCAATTAATAGAGAAACCTGAGAAACTGCCAAAACTGTTGATCAGTGTCAAAAGAGGAGACAACGATTTACGTGGGTTAGAGACATACAAAAGTATATCATCTGCATACAGCGAAATATGATGCTTACAATTAAATATCTCAATAGGGGAGATTGAGGGGTTTTGTCTTATGCTGGCGGCCAGAGGTTCGATGATAACTGAGAAGAGAAATGGGGAGAGGGGGCAGCCTTGACGTGTACCGCGATGAATAGCAAAGGGACCAGAGATATTCTGATTAGTAATGACGGAAGCAGTTGGGTGTGAATAAATTATTTCAATCCATTCTGTAAACATGGGTCCAAAACCAGATTTTTTGAGAGCATACATCATATAAGGCCATTCTACTTGGTCAAATGCACGTTTTGCGTCTAACGAGATAACAATGGACTCATTTGAATGATTTGAATATAGGATATTGAAAAGACGCCGCAGGTTAAAAAACATATGCCTACCTGGCATAAAGCCAGTCTGATCCGGGTGGACGATAAGACCAATGTGTTCTTTGAGTCTATTGGCTAGAATTTTCCCAAGAATTTTGGTTTCTAGAGGTAACAACGAAATTGGGTGGTAGGATGAAACAACCTCTGGATCCCGGCTAGGTTTAGGAATGAGCGAAATATTGGCTCTGTATAAAGTGGGAGGCAGTCTTGACACTTGCTTAGAATGGTTTAACATACGTAAAAGTAGAGGTGATAATTTAGAACTAAATACTTTGAAGAAGTCAGCACTGAAGCCGTCGGGACCCGGTGCTTTGTTATTAGGAAGTGAAGAGATAACAGATTCAATTTCCTGTAAAGTTATGTCAGCTTCCAGAGCTTCAGCAGAATCTGATGGGAGTTTTGGCAAATTCAAATTTTCAAAAAATATTTCCAGATTTTCAATATCTAGTTTTCCCTGTGACTGATAAACACTAGCATAGAAGTCCGCAAAGCAGTTATTGATTTTATCCGGTTCTGTGAGTAAAGTTCCATCTTCAAGCTTAATACGATGTATGGCTCTAGAGGCCTGTGATTGTTTGAGCTGACGGGCTAAAAGCTTATGAGGTTTATCACCTAACTCAAAGTATTTCTGTTTGACTTGTCCCAGTAATTTAGAAACTTTTCTTGACGTAATAGAGTTATATTCATAACGTAGAGCTGTTATTTTTTTCAGTGTATCTGGACACTGCTTTAATTTGTATGAGTTTTCTAAGCTGGTCAACATGCCTTCTATTTTATCCAACCTAATCTTGGATTCCTTGTTTTTTGCTGCCTCGAACGAAATTATACATCCCCTTATAACCGCCTTCATTGCTTCCCAGAGCGTTGAGTCATTTACATCCCCACTGTCATTAGCACTCAGGTATGACTTAATTTCGTTTGAAATAAAAGAGCAAAATTCCTTATCTTTCAACAAAGTGTTATTTAAATGCCAGTTCCACCCCGCCTTTTTAAAATTTAATTTGAGGTTCAGTGACACAGGAGCGTGATCTGATATGTGAATATTGTGATATTTACAGCTTGATACTGCTGCTAGCAACCTAGAGTCTAACAGGAAGTAATCAATCCTAGAGTAGGACTTATGTACTGCTGAAAAGTATGAATAATCTCTCCCAGTGGGATTTAGCAGTCTCCAAATGTCAACCATATTGTGGGATTGTAATAGATTTTTAAGGGATTCACTGCTCTTGAATGATTTAGACTGAGAGCGTTGTCTATCTAAAACTGGGTCCAGGATTAGGTTTAAATCCCCACCAAGGATTATATTAGAGCCAACCCAATCCGGCACTACATTAAAAAGGTCTTGAAAAAAGATGGGATCATCAAAATTAGGCCCGTATATATTTATTAGTGTCACTGGTATAGAATTCAGCAGCCCACTAACAATCACATATCTTCCCCTTTGATCTGAAATTGTCTGCTTGTGAATGAAAGGTGTATGTTTTTTAATCAGGATTGCAACCCCTCTAGTTTTTGTGCTGAAATTTGACTGGTAAACATGGGAAGCCCATGAGGGGCTGATAACTTTTGCAGCTGTTTTCTTAATATGGGTCTCCTGGAGAAAACAAATATCAGCCTTCAGTGAACGCAGATGTGCATAAACTTTACCTCTTTTTAGAGGGCTGTTTATTCCTCGAACATTCCAGCTAATTAAATTAACCCCGCCCCTACAATGTTTATGTGGATCAGTCAACATTAATTCGTGTACATTTTAGCAATCAACTGTTGCATGACTGTGAAGATAATTTTAAGGTATTCAGAACACATTGATGTGCAAGAAACAATATTCTCAAAAACATAACAAACCCTCCCCACCCCCCAACATAACTGAACAGAACCCAGAGCGGAATCTCCATACCTCCACCTTAAAGCTGGAACTACCCGCCCATCCTGTGGAGGACAAGTAACAAGCTTCCCCACCTTTCCAACCGGGACAGCCACTCAACTCCACACAATTAGCTTATTAAAACAAACAAAAAAAAAAACTTTGAATTCTCACCCGATGGCAAAAATTTTCTCACTTTCAAAAAGTCTCAAATGTATCAACGAAAGGAAAGTTTGTCCACCTGCTTCATTTAGTCCCAGACTGCCAGTCCTCTATCTCCCGGCTCAGGAATTTTTCGGCTTCCACTGGAGTGTCGAACGTAGCGGTGTTGTTATTCACGGTGACCATGAACTGCGCCGGGTATCGGAATCCATAACGAATCTTTTTGGATCTGCATTGCTCCTTGATAGCTTGGAACGCCTGACGTTTCTTCATTACAGCTGAGGTGAGGTCGGGAAAGATGAACACCGAGCGACCGTCGTATTGCAGCGGACTTTTCTCCCTCGCCAACCGCAGCATACGCTCTCTCTCTTGAAAATAATGCATCCTGACAATGATGGCTCTCGCCTTCCCGTCTTTGGCATGCGTTAGGCTCCGGTGTGCCCGATCCACTTCAATTGGACGATCAAAATTGTCCTCTCCCAGCAATTTGGGCAGCAGTTTACAGACAAACTCCGTGAGTCTACCATTCTCGGCTCTCTCCGGTATGCCTACAATGCGTATATTCTGCCGGCGTGAGCGCGCCTCCAGGTCCTCCAGCTTTGCTTGCTGTAGTGAGCATTGAGCTGCCAGACTGTCATACCTTTTCTCTAGCTCCGAAATCCGTCTATCCTGTGACCCCACTGCGGCCTCGGTTGATGTCACACGGTCACAAATATCTGAAAGCGCCGCTTTGAGACTGGAAATTGATCCGTTGAGCTCAGTAAACCTCGTGTCGACCGTGCTGCTAAGCTTACTTATAGCTGACAGAACGTCCTCATTGGTGGCCGATGGACCTGGAGAGCACATGGGGCTTGTGTTAGCCTTAGCCACTTCCAGGCTTGCTAGTTTGGTCCGGTCGTCCAAAGTTTCCTCCCCCGAGCCTTTGTCTTTCTTATTAAGTTTGGGCTTGGTCGTTCTGTTCATAGTGTGATGGCGCACTATGAATATGCTAGGCAGAAGTTTAAATATTATTATTTAGGGTGAGAAAGTAGTGGAGTTAAGTCGGAGCTCCCTCAAAACACGTCTACTCCATGATGAGACCTAGGCCACCCCCACAGCGCAATTTTTTGTGTAGGTTTTTTTTTATTTTGATTAGATAGGGGTTATCCCGAATTCAGAAATACAAAACTGGGGCAGCTGCAGCGCCGTTCTGAACCTGTGGAGCCACTCTGCCCTCAGTTTTTGTTTCTGTTCTGTTTCTCGTATTTTCACTGTTGGTTTTAAATAGAGAAAGCAAATGAACTAATCATACACAGCTTATTAATCCCTGTAATTTTTGTATCTGTACTTCTGAACTTTGAATTGCAAATTGATACCTTGGCTTGTTCTTATAGGGATGTTCAAACTCTCTCCATTTCTTAGTTTCAGTGTCAAAGAGCCAGCCATCACCTAGGACAGAAGATCGGTAAAGAAGGAAAGGTTATAACCGGAGGACATTTCAGATTAACATGCAGATCATAGATCCTTACTCATTGGCTTGCAGTCATTACTGAGACCTCCAAACAGAAAAAAGCTGGTCTCTGACACAGCTGTCAGTGTGTGCCATGATCTGCCCACTGGAGAACTGGATAAAGGAACTCTGGAAACAAAAGGAAACATATCAGTAACCCTGGCAACAGCCTGCATGATGCAGCACATTTTAAGCTAAAATATGGTCATGCATGTTAACCCAGCAGCACAGATGTGATCGGAGTATTCTGCGTTTGTTTACTTACATTTCTGTCCACGTCCACGATTCAAAATCTAGACAGTGGATGTCATTTGTCCTGGTTTCCTGAAAGTAGAAATTGGCAAAGGTAGAAAACATGTGTCCCAGATCAAGTTATCCATTAAATTTAAATACGGCGGACGATAAGACTCACAATCTGACAGAACTCCTACTTTAGGTCAATTAGGACCACTAACAGTAGCACCATTTACACTACCCTCTGAAAACCGATCCGTGCCGAGCTTGGATCAGTTAACCATGCCAAGCTCTGTTCCTTAAAGTCGTAGGGAAGTGGCCGTTCCAATTATTGCATTTCCAAATTCTTCCGAGTGATGCACAACTTTACATGAGTGAATCAAGTGAATGTGATTGGTCGATTATCAAGAGGGCGGGCTTGTTGTGGGGGGAGGTTTGCAAGCAAGTTTGGTTTTGGCCGGTTTCTCTGAAGCATCTTGCTAACCAGTTAGCATCTTAGTGCTAGCAGGTTCCCAATGGGAAATTCCATTGGGACCAAGTAGCACTAAATTGGTGACTTAGAAACGACGCTGTCAAGGAACGCTATGGACAGCGGAAACATGCAAGAGGAGGAGAGTTTAGTGTCGGAGGTCGTGGATGAGTCTCCTCCGTCATCCATTTTTTGTTTAGAGGAGGAAAGCGGGACGAAGATGTTGTGGAAGAGGACGCCAGGGTGGCAGAAGCTTGGTTTGGTGTAGAAGGCTTCCAGCCGTACATGTTTGAGCCCTTGCCTCGCAACGCTGCCAGTTCTGTTAGCTCTACGCCTGCCGAAGACACAGACGTCCATCCCCGTGAACACTGAAACGCAACTCAATGGGAAAGGAAAGGATTCTGATTTCAACCGTTGCGTATATTAGCTGCGTATATTAAATTGACAGATCATCGTTGATATATGATTGGCCGAATGTAGGTGTTCAGGCTGACGTAGAACTAACACCACCCTAGCATGGTCCATCACCTCCTAGTGACGATATAAGGTACTACTGCCCTCCAGAGGTAAACAACCAAACTAACATGGCGGCGCCTGTAACATTCAGGAAGTTTGCGGAGAGTCAGTGGAAGAAGGCAGCATTTGGTGAATTTACTTGACAGAGTCGGCTTTGGGGAAGTGGATAAGAGAAATAGTCTAATCAGGGCTTACAGACGCATTGAGGTTCACACTGCTAAGCAGAATCATCACTGGAAATCTTATGCCATAGTAGGGAAGCTAGTATTTTTACGAATGTCTGAAATTTTATAATTTTTTTTACCCAAAAGCTGCCAATAAATTAGTTAGAAACACGTTCAGCGTTCGTCTGGAACACGTCAGATACGCTGATATGCGTTGGAGAGAAGTTCTTGATAAGTTATGCACAATTTACTCAAACGTTTTGAATAAGCTAGACGCCACAACTTATTAGTAACTTACACTTAACGTATGTAAATGATCAGATAACTTACCTGTAACTTATGCCCCATGTATGAGCATACGCTGGTGTACGTTGGGAAATTTTGAGCATGCTCAAAACTTCTCGACGTACTCACCGTATGTTGAGGTGTGCCAGCGTGTTCCAGCGTTTTTCAGCGTGCTCATAAACTATACAAAATGTACCCATAACTTATCCAACTTATGATATGATAGAATTCCAAACAGCACAATTTCTATTTAAAGCTAGAAATAAGCTATTACCAAGTCACTTGACAAATTTGTTTTATGAGAGACAGGGGGGGTATGATTTAAGGGAGATAACTAATTTTAAGATTCAAAGATACAGAACTGCAAGGAAAAGATTTTGTATAACAAATAGTGGAGTGAGGCTATGGAACAGACAGAGCATGGATTTGAAGCAATGTCCAAACATCAACCAGTTTAAAAACAAATATAAACAAATTATTTTTACAAGATACAGGGAGGAGGGGGCTTGAGGGGGAATAGAACTTGCTCTGCCACTATGAATTAAAATCGATAAGAAGTCAAGAGAGATGAAATAATAAGAAAAAAAAAAGTGTGAGAGAAAAGGGTTTTTGGTATATGGATATATATGGATATATGTGTACGTATATGTAGATAGAGATATGTGTATACCGTCTATAGTTATGTGGGTGTGTATGTATATGCATGTATATGTGCATGTGTTTGAGATACGGGTGTATGTGTAAGTATATATATCTGTGTATATATATGTATATATGTATGTATGTGTCTGTGTCTATATATATAGATATGTATGTATGCTTAAACATAGGTAGATGTTAATATGGGGTAGAAGAAGTTTTATTACTTCTTCCTACTCCTTTTCGAACATGATGGTATGTACATATGTTTTTTCTTTTTCTTCTTTTTTGTTTTGTTTTGTTATGACTTTATTAATTTACTTATATTTGCTTTTTATTAAGTGATCGAATTTAAATGATCAACAACAACAATCCCAGAGTTTTTGCCAAATTTTTCGTACCTCAGGCATGCGTTTGCTAAATGGTCAAGGTGTGGCAGAGGCTTAGTTTGATTTTTAAGTTTTCACAGGTTTTTATTGAGCGAACTTGGAATGCTCCTTGGAGCTCCTCTGGGCTTTGCACCACAGCAGAGCAGGGTTAGAAAAATAGATCCAAAGATTCTGAATTTGAACAAAATTGAAAAAAAAATAAAATCTAAATCTATAATTAATTTAGCCGTTTAGCCAAAACAAATAATTTTTACAATCCCACCAGACATAAAAAAAAAAGAAGCTTAAGTTAATGTTTTTTGTTTTTTTTTTAGCAGCAGCAACTGAGTCTCCTCACCACGACTCTGCCTCCAAAAATGTATCCTCTGGATCCAAGCGCGGTGCTGGCGTGGGCTGCCCTCGGGGCGGGTGGACGGCCCTGCAGACGGAAATCATAATCAAACGAAAAGGTTCTGATTTTCGGAACGTTCAAGATGTTCTTGAAACACTGACGTGAGTTTGGGGTTCAGTCCAGCAGCGTTGAACAGGGTCAAATATATGAACTTCATTGTTCCATCCCCAGAACAAATTCTCCACCTGTGAACAGAAATTAAAAGAAGGAAACCAGATCATTCATCTCCCGTAGCAACAGCCTCTTCCTTCTGTTATTTTTCTGCTGTTATGGAGCCTGGTTCTGATTGGGTGAGCGGGTTTCCCTCCAATACCAAAATTTTACCCAGGATGGTTCATCAAGGATAAAATTCCTGTTCCTGTTGCTGATATCAGCCAGAACTTTATGGCCATATCCTCCAAAGTAGATGATCCTGAAAGAACAGTAAGGAAAATATTTATTATAACAAAGTCATCCTAGAAACATCCATCAGATTTTATGTTTTAAATAACTGGCTTCTTCACTTGACGCCTGACACCTCACGATGAATTCTGTGCATGTATTGTCTTAAGATTTTTGGTAAATATTTTTTTTCTCACCATATAAAGTACAGAGGGATGTACTGTTTCCCCTCCCCTACCTATTGCTTTGCACTGCCTGTTAGATGGCTGAAAGTAAAAGCTTACACATTCTCACTTTAAGAAAAAATAATAAAGATCAACAGAAATTCAACAATCCTGATGTGAAAAATAAAAGAATTCTGATCTCTCTGATTAAATCGTCACCGAATAACTTTGATGCAATAATTGGCTTAATTAGAGATATTTTGAATGATTTTTCAGGTCAGTAATTCAGCGCCTGGTGGGTACCGATGCTCCGCACAGGACGCTCTACTCAAAATCTCTCCTGTGGGACTTTAGAGGGTCGGATCTGTCACTGAACGAGTCATGTGACTCAGAGCGGCGCTTTAAAGAGTTTCCCTTAAACACCAGAGCTAACTAAGCTAACAGTTTATCAGCCAACCCAATAGATCTCACCCTGAGCTAATCAGACTTACAGTATTTTCGGTTCTCTGATGTACCTCCAAAAAAGTTAAAAAAGTTTAAAAAAACACTTTATATTGGAGAAACCAAACAACCTCTCCACAAACGCATGGCTCAACACAAACGGGCTACATCCTCCGGACAAGACTTGGCTGTCCATCTACACCTTAAGGACAAAGGACATTCACTTGAAGAATGTTCACATTTAGGACAATGAAGACAGGTGGTTTGAAAGGGGCGTGAATGAAGTCATTCAAGAAAAAACCCAACCTTAAACAGAGGGGGTGGACTCGGGTTTTAGCTCTCAAAAACCTACAACTCAGCAATAGAGTTGAACCCTTTCCGCTATCATCTAAGCCCCCATCGCCATGCGGGGGACCAAAACATCTCTCCTGGTCAGCCAGGTCCATAATGAAACTAACGACTCCCTCTACAGAGGCATGCAGGTATTGCAGGCCGACAACGACCTCAACAACTCCCCATTACTAAGGGATGGACCAGTTCTTTCTAGGGATGCACGATATAATGGGCCCCCTATCCGTATCGGCCTTAAAACTGAATATCGGACATCGGCCACCCCACTGATATTTAACCCGATATTTGATCAGCTTCTGAGTTTCTAAAGTCTAAAAAAAAAAAAAAAAATACTACTACTTCTTCTTCTTCCTCAAAAACTTCTTTTTTACAGACTTATCAAACTTCTAAAGACGAGGGGAACAATATTGATACATTAAAATATCACAATATCTTCATATGCTGATATATTGCCATTTAAAAACACCATATCAATCTCTTTTACTAATGAAATATTGCTATATGTCATCGTTACGCTACGAAATCCCCCGAAAATGAAAGGTTGCCATATTTTTATATGTTGATATATTGACGCGGTATCGATCTATTTTACTAACAAAATCTCACAAGAATTTGCAAAATATCACGAGAGTTTGTAACAGAACGATGAAATTTCACGAGATTTTGAAAGTAAAATAGATCGATACCGCGTTTTTAAAAATCAATTTGATATCAGCATATGAAAATATATTTGAGTTTATTATTTTTCAAAGTGTCAGAAATGGATAACAAAACTGCTATTTTCAATGATTACTTATTTTTGTCCAGCTTTAACATCGGTATCGATATCGGTTATCGGCTACATGAGTTTTAAAATATCGGCATATCGGATATCGGCCAAAATCCCAATATCGTGCATCCCTAGTTCTTTCGGTTCTATTTGCATGTTTTTTTCTAAACCAAAACAAGGTTTTGTGGGGCTACTCTATAAAGCTTGGAACTCAACACTAACCCAGACATTTTGAGTTTAAAAAGCTTCCTGGATGGGAAGCGAAATGTCTTCAGACTTGGAAACAAAGTCCAGTGGTCTTTTTTTTTACTCTTTTAACTTTTTTGGAATGACCTGGGGCTGCTCAGTGGTGCGGTGAATAGCACTACTGCCTTGCAGCAAGAAGGGTCCGGGTTTTGCATGGAGTTTGCATGTTCTCTCTGAGCATGCGTGGGATCTGTCCAGGTACTCTGGCTTCCTCCCACAGTCCAAAAACTGTTAGGCTGTTAGGTTAATTGGCTTCTCTAAATTCTCCTTAGGTGTGAGTGTGTGTCTGAATGGTTGTTTGTCTCTGTGTTGCCCTGCGGTGGACTGGCGACCTGTCCAGGGTTTACCCCGCCTCTCGAACGTAGACAGCTGGAGATAGGCACCAGCACCCCTCGCATGGGAAAAGTGAAGGAAAATGGATGGATGGATGGATGGACTATGACCTGGATGAATCTTCACCAGCATGTTCTCTGATGTTGGATTTAATCTAGAGGGTGAACGTTTCTAGCCTCGTGAGACCATCCTGATCTCGCAAGCTTTCAAGGTTTCACTCGCAGATCAGTCTGGAGATAGCCTGACGTAGTCCTACTCAATTCTAGTCAGAATATGAGTCTGATGCTGCTCCATAGAGCTGTGATTATGGGGCGTGTTTTGAACGGACCAGGAAAAAAAATGCCTCTGCACTCAATTGGATAGACCTACAACCAATAAGAGCAACGGAGTGCGTGACGTATGTTAAGCCACGCATAGTTGTTGTCAACAAAAATCAAAGCGTGCAGTTGCACGCCTAGAATAAGAAGAGGAGCCTTGATCGCGTTTCTCTGTTCCTCTTTTAAAATTAATTTGCTGTCGATATCTTCTAGAACAGACCTAATAGCAGAATCTACTCACCTCAACTCTCCAGCGGCAGCCATTGTTGTTGTCGCCCAAGCGCGCTTTGGTCACGTGGTTGATTACGTTACTGTTGATCATCTGTCCATCATCGTATAAAGCCCGCCCTGACAATTTGATTGGATCGCCAGAGGGTGGGCGATCATACTCGCGCTACTATGGAGCAGAGCCAGACCGAACTTCTCGACCTCAAACCTTGTGGGCGGGACTAAGTTCGGAATGGCACCCAGGCTAGTCTGGAGACTCTCCGTTAAAGAAAATTTCGAGCCGTTCACCAAACGAACGTCCAATCAGCATTGGCTTTGAGGCGGGTTGAGGTGTGACGCAACGAGAAGCGCGACAGTTCAGTCTAAAGAAGATGGCGGCTTCAGCCGATGAAACTAGCGTTAGCGTGGCTATCGAGCAAGTTTTATCGGAATTACAGAGTATTTCTTCACTGAAAGAAGAGCAAAACACTGCTCTGGAGGCTTTTCTCAGAGGAAAAGATGTTTTTGCTCTTCTCCCGACTGGTTTCAGCAAGAGTAGCCTGGCTTGTGGTTGTGTTTTCGTCGTCGCTCTGTTAGTACGTCATATGCTTCGTTGATCTGATTGGTTTATTTGGCCGTCTATCACCAACATAGGCCAATCAGCTAACCACTATTTTCGCCCCTTCCCAAAATTACTTCAACGGAAGGTTTCCAGATGGATATGCGGAGCAAATCCATCTGGCGGAGTCAGGTTAGAACGTTTCCTCATCTTCACAAGGAACTTAAGATCTGCTCAATCTGCTGGTCCAAAGTTGTTTGACATCAGAACCAGAAAACAAAGGGACACTGGGTCTTTTCACCACAGTGCAGTGCTGCTAGGTAATTTCAGGGGAGCAAAACCTGAAAGTTACAAGTCTAGCGCCCCTAGTGGCTAAAAGTCAGAGTGTTGCCTTAAATCAAAGCCTCATCCTTTCAGTGCTCCAGTATGATGGACGTTGGGTTTCTCATGGTGCTTCTACAGGATGGATAATAAACGCTGCCAGCTTCTGACCAAGACAAACAATAAAAGTAATAAATGAGTCATTTTGTTTTCCCTCACTTTCCATCATAAACCCAGCAGGACAGTTTGTCTCGAGGTGACGGAGCGGAACCCAACAGTGGGAGGATCTTCTTCCACACATATTTACCGTCTGTCAGGTCCACACAGAACATCTGTCCAAAAACAAACAACCCAATTAGCAGTTTTCTGTGTTCAATTACCATTGATTATACATTTATTTTGTGGATGAGGGTTGATCCAACGAAAAAAGAAAAGTGTTTTAAATCAACAGCTGGAAAACATTAGAGCATACTACAAAGAGGATGTTCTTAGAGCATTTTCAAATCCTAATATTTTTTTAGAAATACTGTTGGATTAAAATTTGATAAACAGAGAGAGAAGCATTTAATGCATCATCAAACCCAACAAGAAATGAAGGTCCAACAAGGAGAGCATTAGGCAGCAAAGTGCATGGTGACCTTGGAGGAACTGCAGAGGTCCACATCAATGCAACAACTGTGAGCCATGCTCTCTATAAACCTAGCTCTAAGCACAGAAACTATGTGAAAGAACGATGTTTTTCTTCAGCAAATCAGAGATCATGGTCAGAGCTGCTGGGTTGGATGCAGACAAACTCGGGACTAGAGATCAACCGTTACAGTTCTTTAAAGTTCAATGTCGACGTCAATTATTGTAATGTCTGTCTAAAGCCGGACGTTTTTTGCCCTTTTTGGGCTGATTATCCAGTCTTTTGGGAATCGGGCCGACTTTCAGCCTGATGGTGCATCATGTAGTATACAGCGGGTAACGAGGGGCGATCAGCCTCTAACGACCACCCCCCCATCAGGAATCGGAAGGTTGGCAGAAAATCAAACATGTTTCAAATTCATGTTCCGTCTTAAGGTGGTTGTGGGCAAATCGCTCAGTGGACAAACAAGGATTCTTCTTCTTCTTCCTCCTCTCAGAGGAAAACCCAGCATCATGGCGGGGGTGCAATGAGTGAAATGAATTTCTTTCTGTAAAATTGACAGACCGTAGTAGCCATGTTTGCTCAGCCATGTCTTTGTCCAAATACGTCGTCTCCTTTTCTTTTTAGGGCTTTCAGCACAAAATTGCCCAAATAGCCAAGGCAGCGCGTTTCACTCTAGTGAGCCTCATGTTCTTCTTCTACTGGTTTGGCTTCTGGATAGACGAGTTCGAGTAGCTCCATGCGAAGCTAAGTCCCACCTGGTTTTTAGACATACATCGTGAGCTGTGAACTTTTAAACGCTGTGGATTCGTCGTACAGTGTGAGCTGTAGCTGCGTTCAACCATTGAAAAAATCGTACAGAGCACGCCAATCTAACCAATCCCAGATACATGCTACTGGGTTTTTGGGGCCCATCCTGTAAGCTGATATTGTTTTTTTTTTTACTTTATTTACATGATAAAAATGACTAAATGATAACAAATGTTATACAAGTCCCCATTTAAACAAAAGTTTTAATGTATTAACAAATGAAAGAAAACATTAATAATGGATAGGCTATGGGGGGAAAAGCAATGCAAGCAGACCACTAAAGAATCAGTGAATGCTTGCAGTTATCAGCTGACGTCAATGCAAGAAAAAAATATTATTATCAGCCATAGATATCAGCTGGCTGGCGTATCCTATTGAAGTACGGAGTCTACAGAAAATAAACAAAACAAGAAAATTTATATTAATGAAGCACATTTATGTATTTAAAGATATACAAGCATGACTTAGATATAGACCAAACATAACACAGTGGTTGTTAATTCTGTTTTTATTACTATTTTTCCAACGGTTAGTAAGTTCTATAGAAATATTTCTACTCTAACCAATAGTTTGGGTCATGTGATCATTCTGGTTTTATTTTGTGGGTTAAAAGTGAAATATTTTGGCAACCTTCAGTCTACATTAATCACACTGTAAAAAAGGGGGGAAAAAAGCTCTGAGAAACGTGAAAAATAAGGGCTATTAACCTGTGTCACAACCAGTCACTACAAATATCCCTCATTTAAAAGGCAACAACTTTAAGTCTCCTAATTTGGTTTAAAGTAAAGATAAAATATATAATCATAACAATCCAGCAGAGTCAGGCTGATAAACTCTAACCTGATTGGTCTGTCCGCTGTCGTCACATCCTCCAAATATGTACATGTTTCCGTTCAAGCAGCAGCCACAGGTCCCAGACATGGAGGGAGGGACGTCCCCTGTCATGTGAAACACCTGCCTTCAAAAAAACAGAAACAGTGGAAAAACTAGATTCACTGCAAGGAAACGAGCAGCTGGAGGGAATGATGTAGGTCAACTAACAGCTTGAAAGAGATCAGGTTCTTACCATCTTCCTCCTTCCAAGTCGTAGACCCAGATCTCATCTCTGGGAATAAAAACCTCCTCATCTCCGATCGACTGTAAAACAAAACACAGAATTACTGCTTACTGTGATCAATCTGCATGTATTAAACTTTTTGTTTTCAGATAGAAGATGAAAGATTGCTGCCCCTCCCAACCTTTAGCAGTTTTGTGGTGTAGAGCAGTGGCTGTTTCTGATATGAGCGACATCAGTAGTCTATTTGTATAAAAAATGGTGGAATTTTTTTTTTTTTTTGGAAGAATACATACCAGTATGCTGGAGAAGATTCTGTCATCCAGGTTGTAGTCATTTCAAAAAAGTAAAAAAAAAAAAAACACTGACCTTTAAGTTTTTCTTTTTGTTTAATAAGCCAAAACAAGTGTTTGGGCTACTATATAAAGCTTCAAACTCAACACTAATTCTGACATTTAAATTGAAAAGGGTCCTGGATGGAAGCAAAATGTCTTCAAACCTGGAAATAAAGTTCAGTGGATTTTTTTGGTGTTGTTTTTTTTACTTTTTTGGAAGCATCCATAGCCTAATTAATATAGTCTATTAACCTAAAATAATATGCATGGTCTGGTTGTTCCATGCCAGGTACGCCGGTCATCGACTTTGACCACGGCACTTTCAGTAGAACTGCAGTCAGTCCCTGGCATGGCTATCACTGCCCCTAAAGAGTTACCATGGCTATCACTGCCCTACATAGTTAGCAAGGCTAGCACTGCCCCAACATAGTTAGAATGGCTAGCACTCCCCCTACATAGTTAGCATAGCTAGCATTGCCCCTACATAGTTAGCATGGCTAGTACTGCCCCTGCAGAGTTAGCATGGCTATCACTGCCCCTACATGGTTAGAATGCCTAGCACTGCCCCTACATAGTTAACATGGCTATCACTGCCCCTACAGAGGTAGCATGGCTATCACTGCCCTACATAGTTAGCATGGCTAGCACTGCCCCTACATGGTTAGCATGGCTAGTACTGCCCCTGCAGAGTTAGCATGGCTATCACTGCCCCTACATGGTTAGAATGGCTAGCACTGCCCCTACATGGTTAGCATGGCTAGTACTACCCCTGCAGAGTTAGCATGGCTATCACTGCCCCTACATAGTTAGCATGGCTAGCACTGCCCCTACATGGTTAGCATGGCTAGTACTGCCCCTGCAGAGTTAGCATGGCTATCACTGCCCCTACATGGTTAGAATGGCTAGCACTGCCCCTACATAGTTAACATGGCTATCACTGCCCCTACATAGTTAGCAAGGCTAGCACTGTCCCTACATAGTTAGAATGGCTAGCACTCCCCCTACATAGTTAGCATAGCTAGCATTGCCCCTACATAGTTAGCATGGCTAGCACTGCCCCTACATGGTTAGCATGGCTAGTACTGCCCCTGCAGAGTTAGCATGGCTATCACTGCCCCTACATGGTTAGAATGGCTAGCACTGCCTCTACATAGTTAACATGGCTATCACTGCCCCTACAGAGGTAGCATGGCTATCACTGCCCTACATAGTTAGCATGGCTAGCACTGCCCCTACATGGTTAGCATGGCTAGTACTGCCCCTGCAGAGTTAGCATGGCTATCACTGCCCCTACATGGTTAGAATGCCTAGCACTGCCCCTACATAGTTAACATGGCTATCACTGCCCCTACAGAGGTAGCATGGCTATCACTGCCCTACATAGTTAGCATGGCTAGTACTGCCCCTGCAGAGTTAGCATGGCTATCACTGCCCCTGCAGAGTTAGCATGGCTATCACTGCCCCTACATAGTTAGCATGGCTAGCACTGCCCCTACATGGTTAGCATGGCTAGTACTGCCCCTGCAGAGTTAGCATGGCTAGTACTGCCCCTACATGGTTAGAATGGCTAGCACTGCCCCTACATAGTTAACATGGCTATCACTGCCCCTACATAGTTAGCAAGGCTAGCACTGCCCCTACATAGTTAGAATGGCTAGCACTGCCCCTACATAGTTAACATGGCTATCACTGCCCCTACATAGTTAGGAAGGCTAGCACTGCCCCTACATAGTTAGAATGGCTAGCACTCCCCCTACATAGTTAGCATAGCTAGCATTGCCCCTACATAGTTAGCATGGCTAGCACTGCCCCTACATGGTTAGCATGGCTAGTACTGCCCCTGCACAGTTAGCATGGCTATCACTGCCCCTACATGGTTAGAATGGCTAGCACTGCCTCTACATAGTTAACATGGCTATCACTGCCCCTACAGAGGTAGCATGGCTATCACTGCCCTACATAGTTAGCATGGCTAGCACTGCCCCTACATGGTTAGCATGGCTAGTACTGCCCCTGCAGAGTTAGCATGGCTATCACTGCCCCTACATGGTTAGAATGGCTAGCACTGCCCCTACATGGTTAGCATGGCTAGTACTGCCCCTGCAGAGTTAGCATGGCTATGACTGCCCCTACATAGTTAGCATGGCTAGCACTGCCCCTACATGGTTAGCATGGCTAGTACTGCCCCTGCAGAGTTAGCATGGCTATCACTGCCCCTACATGGTTAGAATGGCTAGCACTGCCCCTACATAGTTAACATGGCTATCACTGCCCCTACATAGTTAGCAAGGCTAGCACTGCCCCTACATAGTTAAAATGGCTAGCACTCCCCCTACATAGTTAGCATAGCTAGCATTGCCCCTACATAGTTAGCATGGCTAGCACTGCCCCTACATGGTTAGCATGGCTAGTACTGCCCCTGCAGAGTTAGCATGGCTATCACTGCCCCTACATGGTTAGAATGGCTAGCACTGCCCCTACATAGTTAACATGGCAATCACTGCCCCTACAGAGGTAGCATGGCTATCACTGCCCTACATAGTTAGCATGGCTATCACTGCCCTACATAGTTAGCATGGCTAGCACTGCCCCTACATGGTTAGCATGGCTAGTACTGCCCCTGCAGAGTTAGCATGGCTATCACTGCCCCTACATAGTTAGCATGGCTAGCACTGCCCCTACATGGTTAGCATGGCTAGTACTGCCCCTGCAGAGTTAGCATGGCTATCACTGCCCCTACATGGTTAGAATGGCTAGCATTGCCCCTACATAGTTAACATGGCTATCACTGCCCCTACATAGTTAGCATGGCTATCACTGCCCTACATAGTTAGCATGGCTATCACTGCTCCTACATAGTTAGCATGGCTATAGCTGCACCTACATAGTTAGCATAGCTAGCACTCCCCCTACATAGTTAGCATGGCTATTACTGCCCCTACAGAGTTAGCATGGCTATCACTGCTCCTACATAGTTAGCATGGCTATAGCTGCGCCTACATAGTTAGCATGGCTAGCACTGCCCCTACATGGTTAGCATGGCTAGTACTGCCCCTGCAGAGTTAGCATGGCTATCACTGCCCCTACATGGTTAGAATGGCTAGCACTGCCCCTACATAGTTAACATGGCTATCACTGCCCCTACAGAGGTAGCATGGCTATCACTGCCCTACATAGTTAGCATGGCTAGCACTGCCCCTACATAGTTAGCATGGCTAGCACTGCCCCTACAGAGTTAGAATGGCTAGCACTCCCCCTACATAGTTAGCATAGCTAGCATTGCCCCTACATAGTTAGAATGGCTATCTCTAGTCCTACAAAGTTAGCATGGCTATAGCTGCGCCTACATAGTTAGCATAGCTATTATTGCCCCTGCATAGTTAGCATGACTATCACTGCACCTACAGAGTTAGGGTGGCTATCACTGCTCCTACATAGTTAGCATGGCTATAGCTGCACCTACATAGTTAGCATGGCTATCGCTGCCCCTACATAGTTAGCATGGATATTACTGCCCCTACAGAGTTAGCATAGCTAGCATTGCCCCTGCATAGTTAGCATGGCTATAGCTGCGCCTACATAGTTAGCATAGCTAGCATTGCCCCTGCATAGTTAGCATGACTATCACTGCACCTACAGAGTTAGGGTGGCTATCACTGCCCCTGCATAGTTAGCATGGCTATCACTGCGCCTACGTAGTTAGCATGGCTATCGCTGCCCCTACATAGTTAGCATGGATATCACTGCCCCTACAGAGTTAGCATAGCTAGCATTGCCCCTGCATAGTTAGCATGGCTATAGCTGCCCCTACATAGTTAGGATGGCTATTACTGCCCCTACAGAGTTAGCATAGCTAGCATTGCCCCTGCATAGTTAGCATGGCTATAGCTGCGCCTACATAGTTAGCATGGCTATCACTGCCCTACATAGTTAGCATGGCTATCACTGCTCCTACATAGTTAGCATGGCTATAGCTGCACCTACATAGTTAGCATAGCTAGCACTCCCCCTACATAGTTAGCATGGCTATTACTGCCCCTACAGAGTTAGCATGGCTATCACTGCTCCTACATAGTTAGCATGGCTATAGCTGCGCCTACATAGTTAGCATGGCTAGCACTGCCCCTACATGGTTAGCATGGCTAGTACTGCCCCTGCAGAGTTAGCATGGCTATCACTGCCCCTACATGGTTAGAATGGCTAGCACTGCCCCTACATAGTTAACATGGCTATCACTGCCCCTACAGAGGTAGCATGGCTATCACTGCCCTACATAGTTAGCATGGCTAGCACTGCCCCTACATAGTTAGCATGGCTAGCACTGCCCCTACAGAGTTAGAATGGCTAGCACTCCCCCTACATAGTTAGCATAGCTAGCATTGCCCCTACATAGTTAGAATGGCTATCTCTGCTCCTACAAAGTTAGCATGGCTATAGCTGCGCCTACATAGTTAGCATAGCTATTATTGCCCCTGCATAGTTAGCATGACTATCACTGCACCTACAGAGTTAGGGTGGCTATCACTGCTCCTACATAGTTAGCATGGCTATAGCTGCACCTACATAGTTAGCATGGCTATCGCTGCCCCTACATAGTTAGCATGGATATTACTGCCCCTACAGAGTTAGCATAGCTAGCATTGCCCCTGCATAGTTAGCATGGCTATAGCTGCGCCTACATAGTTAGCATAGCTAGCATTGCCCCTGCATAGTTAGCATGACTATCACTGCACCTACAGAGTTAGGGT